ATTCAGTCTGGGCGACAGAGTGAGACTCCAACTCAAAAAAAAAAAAAAAAAAAAAGTTACTGAACAACTGTATCTGGTCCCAAGAGGGCCCCAGGACTGAAGGGGTGGACAGATTCATCAATAGGTGCTTCCAGTTCTTGCCAAGATGGCAACCTGGCAAGGACTACTGGAACATCACATACACACACACACACACACACACACACACACACACACACACACACACACAGAGCAAACCCCACGAGGAAAGGAAAAGCACTTGCATCTAAGCAGGACTGACTCAGAACACAGAGAAGGTAAAAATGATTCCATCTCACCACCATGGACAGCTAGATTTTGGCACATTCGAGACCTATCCATGAACAAGAGTAATACAGAGTAAAGAGAAACACGAGGAACAATCGAATGCCTTCTGAAATAAAAGTGGAAACACAAGCCGGCAGCCACAAGTCATAGGATGGTGTATTAAAGGAAAGGTTCTGGTTCGGCCAAAGGCAATTGGGAAAGTCGAGAGGTGGCAGAACGGCCGAAGACCTCGGTACTGTTCACATCAACGCGCATGCACTGGCCAAAGTATGCAAAGACCCCGCAAACCAACAAGAGGAGGCAGCCCCAAGAGGAACACAGGCAGATGCTACTAACAGGCGACGCACAGAGAGGAGATCTGAGATGGCAACGGGCAAAGGGACAACAGCCCCAGACAAACCAGGGGGAGCCAGAGACACCCCAGTGAACATGCCAGGCGGCACTTCCCAGCCATCTTGTCTGCCAAGACAGAGCACAAGACAGTGCGCGGTGCCGGGGGGAGTGGGCCAGGTGCCCCCGGGTGCTGCCCTGGAAGGGTGGGCTCCACAGTGACACCACGTAAAGAAACTCCTTTATAAATGTGCATCCTGTGACCCAACAGTCCACCCCGGCAGAGGCTCCAAGCGACTCTCCCCGGTATCGATGGGGGCGTGTGGGAGCCCTGTGCTGCAGCGCAGAGCTGAGTGGCCGCCCCATCCCGGAGCACAGGGAGCCAGGACAACGACTGAGACCAACATCACTGAGCAGGGCTGAGGGTGGCATATGACTTTAAGGGCCTAGGGGTCTCACGGTCACCCAGGCTTGAGGGATTGATGGAGCAAATGGTCGTTCTGTTTTTGCACTTCTTTGAGAAACCTC